GCTGAGGGGAGCGGGGCCGGGCCAGGTGAGGCCCCGGTCCTGCCCGGGGCCCGTCCCCCGCCGTGCTCGGCGCTCTACGTGCGCCCGGCCGGGCTCCCCCCGCCGCCGCCCTTCCGTGTCCGGGGCCCGGGCTTCGGCTGCGGTGGGCTGGTGCCCCCCGTCGCGGTGTGGGCACCGGCTTCGCTGCACGGGGCGAAGCGGTGCTAAAACTGGGCGGAATCGGTGGCAAAAGGTCCGTAAATCTGTCTTTGTGGCGGGGAGGGCAGGTGCTCGGCTGGCATTTATTTCAAGAACAAAGTAAGATGGTGTGTACGTTTGCTGGTAGCGTGGATGGAAAGGGATAGATCGTTTGCTGTGCTATAGTCAGCTCTGTAACTGGAATTTGATTTTCGTGCGGTTTTTTTTTAATTATAACCTAACCTGTAGTGTTTCACAGGTGTTTGCTCAGATGAGATATATCAATGGGTAAACAAAACTTCATGCAATCATTGAGGCAACTGATATCATCTAGATACAAATTTTACAAAGCAGAGACACTACAAAGGATCTTTCTTACTTCACGCAGGTATCGCACTGCTTGATCAGAAGAACATTTTTTGGGTATCCCCTAACTAAAGCAGGTTCTGGTCTGGTCCAGCAGACTAAAGGTAAGAAAAGATTTGCTTGGGCTTCTGCGCTGTTTCAACCTTATACCACGAGGTGAAATTTTCTGTAGGAATTTGGCATTTCCTCTCCTGTACAAACCCTGTTCCTCATTCTCTTTTTCTCTAGATGTTTGTTTGAGGTTCTGCAGACCACGAAGTTCTACAACAGCTGCTGACGCATCTGGAGAGGACCTCTTACTCAAATGGGGCCTTTTCCTGGTCCCTCTGACCGCGTTCTGTCTCGGCACTTGGCAGGTACAAGTAAATATTTCATTTTCTCAAGAGATGAGCACTTGAGGGCTGTCAGGTTTTTCCATCTCTGTCTGTTTAATCTAGTTCTAGTCATGTACAGGGTAACGATTTGCTGTTATTTTACCTTTCTGTTTTCCAAGTGTCCATTTGTAAGGCTTTAGAGGAGAGATTCTTATTTTTTACACTTGTATTTCAATATAAGTATTTCCTCAAATTAAAGTCAGTAGCCTCCATTTCCATATCTCCAATTACCCTGTTTTAGGCCAGGTCTGAGGAGAAACTTATGACAGAATTTTAAGGCTTGCTGGGGTTATTACATTGCGCTGTTCTACCATAAGGAATTACTTCTGTGTTTGTATACTTTCAGGTTCAGCGGCGAAAGTGGAAATTAGATTTGATTGCACAACTGGCATCAAGAATTACATCAGAGCCCATCCCTCTGACATTAGAGTAAGGAAGCTGAGACAGTTTATGGTCTACAGAGCCCTGACAGTGTGCTGGGGATATTAGATATGGTCCCTGCACTAATGAGCTTCTGCTAAACTAAACTGCATGAAAACAAAGGACTGCAATGGGAATCAGGACATGCAAGCAAATTAGAAAGATAGACATCCTGTTAATTTTCTTATTTGTAGTAAAACAATAAGTGAATGCTTCCCTATGGGATGCTATAAACGCATGTATAAAGGATGAATCTCTGCTCAGGAGAATGTGGTACGTAGTTCATACCCTATGTAATCCTCCTGGAGAAGGACTTGGTGGCTGGTGTCTGTGATGTCCCAAAGGGATTATTCCTGCGAGAGGGAGTCTTGGATCGCTAGCAGGCCCTGCCCCAAGCATGGAGCAGTTGTGTCAGATATGAGAGAGATTTTTAAGGCCACTTGGCCGTATGGCACAACTGTCAAAACAGTTCCGTTGTTCGATTTTGTGGTCTGGGGAAGGAAAGAAACGCTCCCGGTCGGCTGGGTGCACGTGCAGCGTATCCACCTGCCGATCAGCTCTGCGTGCCATCCAAGTGGCACTGGGTTGCAGATATCAGGGAAAAGAACTGCTCTCTGGATACTCACGATCATCTCAATTTGATTCACTGTGATAGCGATAAAATATTAAGCCAGCTGCTTGCTCCATGAGGTGTTTGTCTTCTGTTTCTGTTTGCCAGCTGACCCTAGAGAGAACCATTAGGGAAAAGGAGAATCCCACGGTAAAGTCCCCAAATTTGACTTACTTATCGCAGCCGTGATTTTGTTTTCATCTCGTTCCATGCAGCCCCATGGAATTGAGGGAATTGGAGTACAGGCCTGTAAAGGTCCGAGGGCGTTTTGACCACTCCAAGGAACTCTATATTTTGCCGCGGTCACTTGTGGACCCTGAGCGAGAAGCCAGAGAAGCGGGGCGGCTGACATCCCACCCAGAAAATGGAGCCAATGTCATTACTCCTTTCTACTGCACAGAACTAGGGTAAGTCAATGAAAGTCATCGTTCATGTGAGCAACTCACTTCTGTTTTGAAAAGCTGAATCACGGTGGTTTGGTTTATATAAATCGCTCCCTCTCCCTTAAAAGGCCTCTCTCGCAGTCTGTTAGGTCACAGAGGCTCGATTCAAAATTGTTTTTAAATTCCCTTATAATGTGCACTCAGATGACAAAGAAGTGGCACCAAATGTATGGGCTGCTTCTTTCTTTGGTACTTAGTTCTAGGCAGCAGCAAGGATAAATTTCCTTTCACTCATGAGCCGTACTTCTTTATGTAACTCTAGGGTCACGATTTTAGTCAACCGAGGATTTGTGCCCAAAAAGAAATTGAAACCGGAGACCAGGCTGAAGGGGCAGGTAAGGGGGACACAGGGAATGTTGCCTATTACTTTCCGCCCTGTCATTACCCAGAGGCACTCCTGACAAACCATAAAAGGCAGCAGCCATGTTCAGCATTGCACTTTTCAAAGATGAACCTTTTCTTCCCACCTTTTTGTTAAGTAAATAATGTTTTTTACAAACAAGGAGCTGTTCTTGAGCTGCCTTTTTCCCTGCTGTGTTACAGCACTGCCCCACTGCAGGGCACGACCACTTGATTTATAATCAGACCCGGCAAGTGCTACCAAGGTCCTTTCTACCAGGACCTGGTATCCCAGAATATGAAATGAACCTTGAAGGATTCCTTTTTTCTCCGCTGCGCTTCTTTTCAGATTGAAGATGAAATTGATCTCACTGGGGTGGTGAGGTTATCAGAAACCCGGAAACCTTTTGTGCCTGAAAACAACATTGAAAAAAACCGCTGGCACTACCGTGACCTGGAGGCTATGGCAAAGGTGACCGGCGCCGAGCCCATCTTTATCGATGCAGATTTCAGTAAGTCACGGAGGAACCCAGCCCCACAGCCAATTTACATTGGTCTCCCCCGCTTTTGGTTCAGTTAGTTGTTTCCCCTGGGCACTTGGAAAGGTATTGCATCTTTCTCTTTGTGTACTCTGCTAGGTTTGCTGTTTTGAAGGTGGCAGGCAGCCAGCACTGGGAAGGGTAGCGCGCTCCGAAGAGATGCGGGGGGTGGTTGATGCCTTGAGCACAGCCAGCCGCTTGCTGCAGGGCCGCCTGCGCCCCAGCTCTGGCTCGGCTGGTACTTGGGAACGCCGCCGCCTGAGGAAGAGGAGCAGGGCATCCACAACTGCCCGCCTTCATCCCCTTTCTCACAGCAAGGGCAGCTCCACGCGGCGCAGGCCAGAGATTTAACTTGTGCGCTGTGCTGTCCCTCTAGGAAGCACAGTCCCAGGGGGGCCCATCGGAGGCCAGACAAGAGTGAGCCTGAGAAACGAGCACATGCAGTACATCATCACCTGGTGAGTTACCCGGTTTGACTGACCTTCCACGTGGTTTTTTAGAGGGAAAGCTCTGAACCGCCTTCTGTTGAAAGCAAGGGAGCAATTTTTGCCTGGCATTCTTGCTCCTGCATCAGTGAGACTGGATGAGCTCTTAAGCTACAAAAGCCTAAAGTTTTAAGCTAAATAGCATGTGCAAGGTGATTTGAAATAATTGTTTTGTTGCACCGCAGCTGAGTTAGGGAGGTCCAGTCCATCTTGAAAACACGTACACGTGTGGTTTTGTTTTCTTCCATAGGTACGGCTTATGTGCTGCAACTTCATTCCTGTGGTACAGAAAATTTATACAAAAGGTACCTCTGTGAGGGGAAGGGCTCATCTCTTCTGCGCTATAGTCAAGAGCAGACTTTCATAGAAGACAGCAGTCTGATCAGTCCTGAATAACTGAAGCACCCAGTTTCGGGGCAACACGTTCAGTAAAGGTGTGCAGCTATCAAGCTGCAGCCAGGCTTTAAGCAACCGCTGCAGACTCTGAGCTCCTACCAGTGTGATTTGGCTGCAGCGTGGAAGCACCGACCTTCAGGATTGTAAGTGGCTGTTAAGACTTGTAGCAAAGCTGACTTATGCAGTAAGCTCAAGGATATGTTTTTCTGTTGTGGTTCATTGGAAGTTACAACATTTTAACTTCTCCACTGCTGTATTTTCCAAAAGATGGCAAGGGATTTGGCAAATCAAAGCTTCTTTGCACTGAGTCATCATTCCTGAAGTCAGGAGTGGTTCACAGCAGTTGCATCAGAATAAATAAAGAGGGCCTGTAGATGCTTGCGTTGCGATTTGCATTGTGCATCTTACATCTTAACAGTAACAGACCTGAAGTAAAGGTTACTGTGGATGTTCAAGTCCAGCTGGGTAAGGCAGCCTGTGGCTTGCAATAGCACAACGAGGGCTAGCAAAACCAAACAGCAGCTGCCTCAGCTGGAGCCTTATCAAGCCTGGTAGCCTCCCACAATGCCACAAGACCAAGTCAGGAAAGAAGAGGAGGACAAGAAGGTCCAGATTCTCAGCAGGACAGACCTCCCCACCTGCTGAGCCTGGTAAAATGTCCTAACGCCCTCTGTAACCCATCCTGTAACCGCGCCTCAAGTACCAATGGAGATGATCTAGAGCCATTTCCAACTGAGAGAGATTTGCATAAGCAAGCTAGGCTTAAAGCCAGAACTAGCCTAGCCCATTCAACTTTACAATCAGACAGCACGTGAGCTGCCGTCGATGGGCTGTGTTCAGAGGAGAGGAATTACTACACAGGACATGTAGTTACGGGCAGTTGTTCCAAGTGAAGCAGTAACCTGCTCTACGCAGCTGTTTGTGCGGCGCGACTCGATCATTTGCTGGAAGGCAAAGGGACATAAGACAATGCTGATGTGCTACCCGCTGCTGCAACACTCCCAGTAACGGAGACCACTGAAACTTAATCTGGGGGTTTATTCTTTTTATGTACAGAAAACACATGAGCAATCCAGTACATCTTTAGCCCAGCTTAGTAGCCAGCTCTTTAGCCTTTGCTTTTTCAAGCTTAGCAATGCGAGCCACTGATTTTGGACCCAAGACGTTACCGCCCCAGTGACGACGGATCTGCAAAGAAGTGAGAAGAGGTTAGACGCCTCATACCATCTCTTAGTACGTCATTCAATCCACTTGCTCAGTTCCACTCCTTTCTGCACAAAGGGAAGAGCTCTCTCAACTAGGAAGTCCTACCCATTTCAAGCGGTGAACTACGTTTCGGGGCAGCGCAGAGATACAGAAGCTTAAAGTTTTTCCCCATGAATGGTGCTGGATTCAGCCATCACGTAACTTCTGGACTTGGGGGATGGAGTTGAGCCTAGCAGAAGCTGTTGCCCTCTCTACAATCCAAGCCCTATGATAGCTCCATTTACTTGTAACTTGGTGACAGCGTTCGCATTTTACCCCACCCTCAGGTAAAGAATCTGATACGCCGTATGCAAAGCTAGGTACAACAGACCCAACAGGCTTTAAGCTGATGTCACTATGTCTGAAATAATTTGCATTTCACTGGGAAGCTTTTAGGGACGTTAACAGTATAAACTAAAAGGCTAGCAGCAGAGAGAATCTTACCTCATCGTATCTGTCATTGTAGTTGGTCTTGACAGCCTCCACCAGCTTTGCAAGGGCTCCCTTATCCTCCCTGTTGGTGACAGTTTTAGTTCCTTTAGAGCCTCAATTTAACATTTTCCATAAATCTTTCGCTTCAGGATTTACGAGCTCATAGTGGCGATGTGATTTTTCAGGATAAGATAAGCATCATTTGCAAAGGGCCAATCACTCCAACCACCAATGCTTTAGGAACCTGCACTGCTCAGATTAAGGTTAATAGTTCCATTGTTCCATTTAGGTACTTTACGAGTAACTATCCATTTTGGTAAGCAAAGTAATCTGTACCTTCAGGATCCGATAGAGCTCTTAATACAAAAGGACATATGTATCAGACATTATAGAGGTAGTAGTTAAGTTTTACTGCTTTAAACTAGAGACTCGAGTTTGATATCCACCTGCCCTACAGTCTGTGCTTACAGGCAGTTCGCTTTCTCCACTGCAGCGGATCAAGTCAGCACACAGAACACTTACGGGTTAACTTGGGTGAAAGCAACAGAGGTACAGGTTTTCCTGTGGACCAGTCGCCCCAGTCTGGCTTTGCCCTTGATGATGCAGTATGGCACTCCCATCTTGCGGCACAGAGCTGGCAAGAAGACCACCAGCTGAAAAAAAAAAAAGGGAACGTGCTGTGTTACTGAGGGAGAACATCTTTTTATTCTTTGAATCAGCCTGGGCTGTGGCAATTGCTCAGTGTTAAAAAGCTCGTTTTGCTCTTCATTGTTGATTCAGGTGAAGAAATTCATACATCATTGCAAGGGCCAAGCCTCATCGTAATACCACGACAACTATGAACATGCATAAGTATTCCAGTTCTAGTAAATATTTTTATGCATTCCTTTTTCACGCAAGAAATTTGCCCTAAAATGCATTTTCACCCCAAGCCCAGTTCTGACCTCAGCTTAAGTTACACAGGTAGCCTGTAACCTGTACCAGCAAGTGTGCTTACCTCAATGGGGTCTACATCGTGGGCGATAACTACAAGCTGAGCCTTCTTGTTCTCTACCAGAGTTGTGACACTGTTAATACCTGAAAAACAAGTTATATGTGAGCTTTGATTCTGCTCAGTCTATTTTCCGAGCTTTCACATAAGCCTCATACAACCAGCTCAGATTCCATAGCGCAGCTGCATCATGAAAGTTGCGAAAACTTTTCACATCTGTTCCGTAAGACAGAGAAGATATTCCATGGACAATCTGCTAAAGCTCAGGGTTAAAAAGCTCGTCTGTTTTGCTCTTCACTTGGAGCTCAGGTGAAGAAATTCATACATCATTGCAATAGCTTGTCCAGTCCTGGTTGGTTGGAGCCCAGCACCAACTCCTCAGTTTTCTCTCTAAGAAAGCACTGTGCTCCCATACGTGCAAGCAGCCAAATCCACGTACAACGTTACCTGCTCGGAGGACCGGTGGCCGTTTAGTCGGTGCATCTCCCTTTCCTGCAGCTTTCTGCTCAGCACGAGCCAGCAGCCTCTGCTTCTTCTCTTGCTTGTTTTCTGGCCTGTATTTGTGCGCCAGCTTCAGTAGCTGTGTAGCTGGAAGAGAACATCTACTGGTTAGTTAGTTGCATGACCTAAAAAAAAAAAATCTAAGCATTACTTTTAAAAAGCCTGCAGTGCATCAGCGATCTTGGTGGTTGTCATCAAGTGTATTTAGACAGCAAAAAGTCAGCATCATTTGCACAGCGCCAGAGCAGAGCCAGCAGGGCACCTCTAGAGTCCATATTTACCTCTACGTGCACCTCTGTTGGCAATGAGAGCTCCTTCCCTGTTTGGATGAGGAAATGCCTGTTGAACCCCACAGCAATTACAGTTAAAGCTGGTGCACTTTCTCCTTTAAAGCAAGCAACCTGTTTGGCAACATCTACGAGGGAGTTACTCTACACAGGCTGAAAGTTTCTTGCACAGACACTGTCACCTGGAAAAGACTCGTTTCACAGAAAACCCTGAAGTCCCTTTTTCCCCTGTATCAATCTCAGCCCGCAGGATGCCAGCTCTCCCTCAAGGCCTGCACTCGTACAGATTTCACAAACTATCTGTTTACACAGTCAAAAGAACCCTATGTGGTTCTGCATCAAGCTGGAAGAATGGACTCCGATGGAAACGTGAAGTTAAGATAACCCTGGGTTTGAGTCGGTAAGTAGGAGCTTTGGTGTCTTCTATTCCCTTTTCCATGTACACAGCAGCTATCAAGACTTAAGCCAGCAAATCCAGACAGCAGCTTGCTGTTGAGATCACCCCAGTCACTATTAAAGCCTGCCTAAAATGCTTCCAGAGATACTCTCCAGCTTACCTTTGTTAAGTCTTATTTTGGTTTCTCTTCTCGGAGGCACATCCCACTAACAACCCACATCAAGAGAACTTCACGGGGCACATCCTTACCTGTCTGGCGGTCCAAAGCCTGAGTGAACTGGTTAATGGCAGGAGGCACCTTCAAGCGTTTGTAAAGAATGGACCTCTGGCGCTGCAGCCTGATGTAGCGCGGCCATTTCACAAAACGTGTGAGATCACGTTTCGGCTGGATATCCTGTCCTAAAAATACAGACTTTAACTCAAAGCTGTTCCAAACCCGGACAGCAACAGCACGGAACAGGCACGAGTGCATCAGTGATCTTGGTGGCGATATGTCAGCACTATCACTCAGATAGCAAATATTCTTTCACATCATCTGCACACCGTACAAAAGCAACACTACAGAAATCTGAATTTATTTACCACACCACATGCAAAAGGGCAAGATGCATCACAACAGAATCACATAATGAATCTGTGTAATACAAGAAATTCAGCAAATTAGCCATAGCCACCTTCATACACCTAATGAAGGACAGCTCTTAATTGCAGGCAGCAAGGCAACTGCCTTCATCCCCCTCGCCACTCTACAGCTTTATTACAATACGCTTCTGTTTGCGATTTAGACGTCTGTGCATAAAACAAGAAAAACCTTGAGCGAGAAGCCCAAATATCCACTTACTCACCAATGCCAAAGTTCTTGGGCCTCTTCTCGAAGAGGGGATTGACGACCTTCTTGGCCTCCTGCTTCTTGACTACAGCAGGGGCCGGGGCCACCTTCTTGCCCTTGGCCTTCTTTCCTTTCGGCTGCAAGCAAGAAATACGCTTGCTCTTCCTTCTTTGGCCCCAAACGCTTGTGTACTTAAAAAAGCTTTCAGTCCATCTTGGAGATGCGTTTTCCCAGGCACTCCCCCAGCCTGGCAACCTCCCGGCCTAGCCGTCCCC